TATATATATATATGTGTATGTATGTATATATATATATATGTGTATGTATATACACATATACACATACATGATAAAAAAAATTGTTTTTAAATGCTGAATTAAATATTAAACTAATGATTTAGGAATTAGGAACATTTTTTTTTACAATTACATTACCATAATTAAGATTAAAACTCCCCAAAAAATTCACCTCGAACTCAGAAATTTGTGATGAATTAATTAATTTAAGAATCTTTTAATTTAAAAAATTAGAGACAGCAATGAAATAACATTAGAAATGACATCACACATCAGGTCTGTTCGTATGATTTGTATTTTCATAATAAATGCTACGATAATATTTTTTTTATAAAGAAACAAATATAAAAGACAGATGGTTAGTGTTTGAAAAGTGTAAAAACTCAAAAGTAAAAGAAACCGTAAAAACATTTGAACTTATTTACATGAACAGTAGGCGGCGCTCTGACATCACCAACACTTAAGCTCCGCCCTCACACAGTCCAGGAAGTGATTCTGACCAATCAGGACTCACGATTCATTTACACACAAATACCTGTCTTATTTGTAGTTTATAAATATTTATATTAAACTTTCTTTTTTTTAACATTATTTCAGTTTTCATGACAACCAGGAAAGTAAGTGCAGATGATTCTTTATAATTTTATATATATTTAGTTTTGGAGCTGCATTTCATCAGACAAATGTTTTGTACTTTGGTTTAGAAATAATAAAAACAATAATAATAATAATAATAATAAAACATTTTTGTTTCTTTTACATTTTAGAGATTTTTTTTTTTCAGCCGTCAACAAAATACATTAAATCACTGATTGGTCAAAAACATTTCCTGTAAAAAAAATAAATAAAAATTGGTCGGAGTGGGCGTGGTCTGCGTGATGATAGACAGCTGTTTTATTTTTCCAAAATAAAGGTCAGTTCTTCGTCAGATTCAAGTCAGTTTGTTATTTTAGTATTTTTGACGGTTGAGCCGTCAGAGAATCTGAGAAACGTTAAAATCATAAAAACATAATAAATAAGAACAGAAACAAACTCTTTAGTGTTCACAGCTGATTGGTCCTCAGCAGTGGAAACGTTTTTAGTGTTCATGCTGTAGTGAAAGGGGGCGTGGCTTAAAGTTTGACCGCCACCTGTTGACGCACTTGGATCGTTACTTATTTTAGTGTATTTTGTATTTTCACACAAGTTGCAGAACATTTTCAAACTCACAGGAAACAAGTGGTTTTTCAAAATAAGAAACGATCAAACGATTAATAGATTTACTCACAAATAAAGACCGTCAATCTGGTTTCTATCAGACGAATGAAACAACATCTAGTTTCATGAACAAACGTTTTTCGAGTTTCATTTAGTTTATAAGTTATTTTACTTCCTGTCTGATTTGTATTGATTTGTTTTATTGAAGCCGTTTGATTTGTTGTTGAGCTCAGGAAGACGAGAGAGAAGAAGACGTCTGAGGAAAGAGACGAGTCGTCTGGGAACACGATCACCTGAGGGTCATGTGACTGAGGGTGACAGCCTAGCTAGCATTATTGCTAGCGTGCTAATCAAATGTAGTTTATACATTTTTGTAAAGTAGCCAATGTTTTTTTGTCTTACAACCCGATACTACAATGTTAATAACTGTGGATGCACACAGAATAAAAACGTAATCAGAACATGTTGTAACATGCTAACAACCCTTGCTACAGTACATGCTAAGCTGTTAGCTACATTTCAACAGGCTTAACTTCTGCATGTGACTTCCTGTTTGACCACCAGGTTTTTTAAAGTTTTCAGTCAACTGAGAATTTTTAATGCGTTTACAGATGCTAACATAGCTAGCTACACCCATGCTAACGTTAGTAGTATTTTCTCTGTAGTTTAACGAGTTCAAACATCAGCAGGTAAATGTTTAATTTGTGTTTTTAAATGTTTGTGAACTCAAACAGCTCAACCATTTCTGTTTTTACCAAAAGACATGCCCACTTAATAGTTACGCCCACTTAATGACCACGCCCACCTCCATACTTTTCTTTGCTGACGACACTCTGCTGTCTCTGATGTCATCACCTGTTCTTGATGGCAGCGAGGTCGTGTGATGATGTCATCACTTCTTTATGGCATTGAGGTTATGTTATGATGTCATCACTACTTTATGGCATTGAGGTTGTGATGATGTCATCACTCCTTGATGGCTGCGAGGTTGTGTGATGATGTCGTCACTTCTTCTTGATGGCGGCGAGGTCGTGTGATGATGTCGTCACTTCTTGATGGCTGCGAGGTCGTGTGATAATGTCGTCACTTCTTCTTGATGGCGGCGAGGTCGTGTGATGATGTCATCACTTCTTGATGGCGGCGAGGTCGTGTGATGATGTCGTCACTTCTTCTTGACGGCGGCGAGGTCGTGTGCTGATGTCATCACTTCTTCTTGATGGCGGCGAGGTCGTGTGATGATGTCATCACTTCTTCTTGATGGCGGCGAGGTCGTGTGATGATGTCATCACTTCTTCTTGATGGCGGCGAGGTCGTGCTGCAGATCAGAGAACTTGGGTCTCTCCTCAGGGTTGTACTGCCAGCAGCGCTGCATCACTTTGTACACGTCGTCAGGGCAACTCTGAGGACAGGACATCCTGTAACCTAGCAACCGGGAGGAGAGAGACATGTGATGTCATTAGAAAAGAAGACGACACCACAGAAATATATAAGTGTATACGTATATAATTGATAACGGACTTAACTGGTAATTATTTTTCTCACAATTTACAAATCGATTGATTTAATCGATTTGATTGATCGTTAGAAGCGGACGTTCAGGGTTCTAAAGGAACCGGTTTTATTTCTTCATTTTATAATAAATAGTTGAAAACGAGTTCATCTCAAGAGGTTTACACCACCAACTGTTTATAAGAAGTGGACGGAGTTGTCGTGACGTCACTCGTTGGTTTTGAAGCCTCGAGTTCGCCGTCGCCATCTTGTTTTTTTGTGCAACCAGTGAACAGGAAGTGACCATATCTGGACTGAGGAGGAGTGACGTAGAGACGCCGTATATACGTCTCTGGTCAATCACCAGAAATCACCGTGTCAATCACTGTGTAGCCCCGCCCTAAAGCATCCCCTGCTTTATGGTCTGTGTGACTCTAAATGGACCATAATGTACTAAATGAACATCATGCTGTATTGAAGAAGACTTGAAACTAGAGATTGAGACCATAAACTCATGTTTACAATGTTTACTGAGGTAATAAATCAAGAGAGAAGTAGAGTCATTTTCTCATAGACTTCTATACAACCAGAGGAGTCGTTTACGGCTCTTCTTCTTCTTCACTCTCTGTGTTTACCTTTCTCCACCTGCTCTCGGGCCTGCTGATTGGTCATCCCTGGATAAGGACACACCCCCAGACTGAAAGTCTCCCACAGCAGGATCCCATAACTCCACACGTCACTGTCAGAGCTGTAACGACCTGCAACAGCCAATCACAGAGCAGGACACATCAGCAACCAATCACAGAGCAGTTGTGTCGAACAGGAATCATTTCTGCGCATAAATTACACAGCCAATTTAACCACAACAAATCCCAAAACGTTTGGATTTCACCGTGTTTGTTTTCCGCAGCTGTTTGAATAATTTGAATGTCAACATTATGTTATATGTTGTAGTCAGCCGTGAGACAGGTGTGAGACAGGTGTTACCGTAGTTCAGGGCCTCTGGCGCCGTCCATTTGATGGGAATCTGTTTCAGTCCAGATGAAGAATAAATACCATCGTCCTCCTGACGACTCATCCCAAAGTCACTGATCTTCAACACACTGCCCTCTCCCACCAGACAGTTCCTCGCTGCCAGGTCCCTGACAGACAGACAGGTGGACAGACAGACAGGTTATCGTAGTAGTTTAAACCATGGATGTGGACTAACAGAATCAGATTAGAGACATTCTTTTGTCATCATGGAACAAAAAGACTGAAGTGTGTTACAGCTGATCTGAGAGCCGTTGTGTTCACTGTCTGTCTGTTACAGAGGAACAGGTGTTAAAGACGTACCTGTGGATACAGTTCTTACTCTCCAGGTACGCCATACCGGCAGCAGCATCGACAGAGAAGCGAACGAGCTGCTTCGTCTTTAGCTCATCCTTCTTCTTCTTCCTCAGAAAGGACAGGAAGTCTCCACCTGAGTGGAGGGTCAGCTGTTAGAAACTGACCAATAAAAAAAAAACAACAACAACAACAGCACTGAATAAGCTCCACCCACCAGGAACAAGCTCCATGACGATGTAGATCGGCTGTCGCTGTGTACACACACCAATCAGCTTCACGATGTTCGGGTGGTCGTACTGCTTCAGGATCCTGCAGCCAATCACACGGAGGCAGCGTTAGACACCGGCCAATCACACGGAGGCAGCGTTAGACACCGGCCAATCACACGGAGGCAGCGTTAGACACCGGCCAATCACACAAGTTTAGATTTTCTTTCCCATCGTGCTTTAATGTGGATGGATGGATGTGTTGATGGATGTGTTGATGGATGTGTTGATGGATGTATTGATGGATCTATTGATGGATCTATTGATGGATCTATTGATGGATGTGTTGATGGATCTGTTGATGGATCTATTGATGGATCTATTGATGGATGTATTGATGGATCTATTGATGGATCTATTGATGGAT